GCTACACAAATGTGAACAAATCAGGCTTCAGTACCAGAGTTTTTCCCCATAGGTTGTCTAAGACGATGCAACGCTTGTTCCCTTATCTCAGGGAACCGAGGTTATGTTAGTAACTGGAACGATATCAAATATGAGATGGCTGGTAATATTCTTTTACTAAATTCTTTCTTTTGACTAAATTATAAGTTTTCAATTCTTATTTTGTAGAACAGCCTTGTTCCACCTTCTTCCAAAATGATGCAGGGTCAACAAATTAGGAAATTAAGTGTCCCTAACTAAGCAAGCCAGAGGCAACAGTGGCAAGGAACCAAAACTCCATCGGTGACAGAATGGGAGAAACCAGGCTCAGTCGGGGGGCCAGTTCTCCTCTGACCAGACGAAACCAGCAGTTCAATTCCAGGCTGCAGCGAAGTCGCATTGTGCAGAGGACTCAACTGGATCCTGTGGTCTTGTCCCAGTGGCTGTCTAGGAGACGAGGTCTTCACTGGGGATCCGTCTCTGCTTTGCAACAATTTGTATCGTGAAAAGCGCTAAACAAATAAACTTGAATTGAATTGAATTTTTGCATTTAACTCCTTAACTCTGGGATAATCTTCCTGATCATGTTCGAGGCTCAGACACAATCTCTCAGTTTAAATCCAGATTAAAGACGCATCTCTTTAGTCAAGCATGATGCATCCCATAACCTTGTAGCCAGAGGGACGAGGGAGCCTGGTGGAGCCAGTGGGATGATGGGCCACAGTGGAGACGAGGGAGCAAGGAGCCAAGGTTGTGCCAAAAGGGCTGAGGTGGAGTCCAGGACTCAGAGGCTGGAGGCAGACACAGGGGATCCTCATGCCAAGGCGGAGCTGGACACTGGAAGACCCGAGGCGAAATAGTCTTTAAGCAGAACGGGACCAGTGTCAGAGAACATTCGTGGGTGGGCAGCAATACTTCTGTTTTCCAGTCTATTATCCAGTATATGTTTTATCAAAATGATGAAGAAAAAGACAATCTGGTTTCCAAATAATGGTAATATTTATTAAAACAAACTCCAAAGGCTTAAACTCAAGACAGCTTGCAAACATAAACACAAGCAATACCAGACTGAGAGAGAAAAACGAAGACTAATCTAATCATGATAAAGAGCTAATAAAATGTCACTGTTTCAGTTAATGATTTCAGCCCTCTAAAGGATTTTTGCTATTTTGGTCACCAAAATTTTGGTGTATCACTACATTGTTCTATTGCAAGTTGATATTGCAGAGCTATTTAAAACTCTTTCCACACAAAGAACAAATAGGATTTCACATATGCATGACTTTTCAGGTGTATTTGTTTGATGGCAAAATACATTTTTATTACACTGATCATAATTAAATCACCTTCTTCCACACAGTTTGCAGAGTTAATGCTTCTCTCTGGTTTGAATTCTCATGTGCCTTTTTAAGCTTCCTTGCTGGGTGAAACTGATTCCACACTGATCACATGTGAACGGCTTCTCTCCAGTGTGAATTCTCATGTGCATGTTAAAGCTTCCTTGTTGAATAAAATTGTTTCCACATTGAGGATATGTGTAAGGCTTCTCACCACTGTGAATTCTCATGTGCCTTTTAAGGCTTCCTTTTTCAATGATACTATTTCCACACAGTTTGCAGGTGAAAGGCTTCTCTCCAGTGTGAACCCTCATGTGGACTTTAAGGTTTCCACGTTCACTAAAACTATTTCCACACAGTTTGCAGGCAAAAGGCTTCTCTCCAGCGTGAATCCTCATGTGGACTTTAAGGTCTCCTTGTTGATTGAAAGTCATTCCACATTGATGGCAGGTGTAAGGCTTCTCTCCTGTGTGAATTGTCATGTGGCTTTTAATGCTTTTTTTTTTTTTTTACGAAACTCTTTCCACACTGATTGCAGGTGAAAGGCTTCTCTCTTGTGTGAATTCCCATGTGGGCATTAAGAGTGTTTTTATGTGTAAAAATTTCCACATTGAAAGCAGGTGAAAGCCTTCTCTCCGGTGTGAACTCTCATATGTTTTTTAAGGTTTGCTTTGTCAGGGAAACCCTTTCCACATTGTTGGCAGGTGCAAGGTTTCTCTCCGGTGTGAATTCTCATGTGGACTTGTAAGTCTTCTTTGTTGATTGAAACTCTTTCCACACTGTTGGCAGGTGAAATGACTTCTAGTTCCAGTCTTTTGAGCTCTTTTTTTGTGAGGAAGTCTTTGCAGTATGTGATCAACTAAATGATTTTTGTCCAGTTATGAAATCATGATGTTTCTTATACTGATCTTTATCTTGAATTTTATTCAGTTCTTCACTCTCTTCTTTCAGGTCTAGGGTGAAAAGAGACAAATACAAGTTAACACCCAATTCAAAGCAACAGTAGAACAGAAATCAATAATGGCCAAATCTGCCATTTATGTCTAAAAAAGGAGTGTCAAACTCAGCTCCTAGAAGGTCATAGTCCTGCAGAGTTTAGCTCCAACCTGCCCCAACACACCTACCTTTAGGTTTCAAGTAATGAAGAACTTGATTGAGGTGTGCTCAATTAGAGTTGGAGATAAAATCTGCAGGGTTGTGGCCCTCCAGGAACTGAATTTGACATTCCTGGTATAAAATATTACAAAAAAATTATCCTTACCCAACAAGCAAAGTGTGTTAACAGTTAAGAACTAGGTGTTATGTGAACTACCCCCAAACTAACACCCCGGCAGAACCAGGTCTCTGGTTACTGTGGTAACAAGACATGACATCAAGATAAGACAACTCAAAGGAATATAGAATTTCACTCTATATGTACTTTGAAACAGAAAATATACCCTTGTACTGTACATTACATCATAACCCCTTTACCCTCTATATAATCAGTTGAGATACATATAATCATCTATTCAATTACACTATGTAATAATATGTTCTTTTATAATGTTTCGCCTGTGTATTAATCTAAATTCTTTGAATAAATGTTTTAGCATTACTTACTTAATATCACAGGCATACCATGTTTGGAATCTATCAGCTTTCTCATGTAAGTTCCTGGATGATGTTTTGCATTATATAATGACAACATATTGGTATTAAAAAATATTTAATTTTTTTTTATCAACATCCAATTAAACTACATTTGCAAAACTCCATGCTTGAAGACAAAGGGTTGTAAACTTTCCCTCGGGAGGTGCACTTTCTCATTGGCTCACTTGCCTCCTAAGGGGTGTGATAAAGGTTAGTGTGTGTTCACTACTGTGTGTGTGCGCACTTGGATGGGTTAAATGCTGAACACCAATTCCGAGTATGGGTCACCATACTTGGCCACACGTCACGTCACTTCACTTTCACTTTACATACTCTTAGCATCCAGAAAGTTAGTTTCTCCAAACAGTCAGCTCAAACAATCTGCCCTGTCTCTTGTCAAAGCTAAAACTTGCAACGTGTTCTTCGCTAGTTGGATATTTCTATCTGACCTTGTGATCCAGTTCATCCCAGAGCAGTTCAATAGGATTTTTGTCGGGTGACGGGGCAGACCATTCTCATAACATTAATATAGCACATTTCTTGACACTCAAAGCACTTCACATATGTAGGGAGCACCATTTGAAAACCTATTGAATCTAAAACAACTTAACCTTTCACCACTGATCTGTTACTAATTGTTTCTCTTTGTAATTCTGAACTTAATGAAGTTTGGTTGCACTTACAGAACCCTTGTATGTGAGAATTGTATAAATCCTTGCATTTAAAAGGCAAAATGCTTTTATTTTACTTTTTTTGTAATAAGTAGAGATAACTTCTAGATTTTGAAAAGTGAAGGCAGTATTAACAGAATAAAAGAGTTAAATAAAATAGATAATAGTTGTTGGAAAAACTTGTAAAAGCTGTAAACAATTGTTCTTAAGAATTGTTTGAATAAAATCAATTAAACTGGATTATTTGTTTTGGCTGAAGATAAAAATATTACATTTTAGACTTAACTGAACTTAATCGACAATAGTTTTGTACAAAATTAAGACTGTTAAAGGTGCACTAAGCGATTTTTGCCAAAAAATTTTGATATTTGAAAGCACCAAAACAAATATGCCCATACCCCAACAGGACCTCTCCCCTATTTTGATAACTCCGCCCCACATGTACGTTCACAACCCTTGGCCTGCCGGCCAAGCATTTTTAAGCAAAAGCCAAAACAGAAAAGTTGTGTGAAAAGGCAAAATCAATGTTAACTCACCTATCAAGAAGAAACGAAGCAACCTCGGCATCCGATTCCAGGCCTTCCCGCTCCTTGAGTTCTCTTCACTGCTGGATGCTGCTCCGATATTTATGTGGTTCCTATCTCTTGCCTGACCGTACAGTAAGCCTTCTTTTTAATGTTTTGTTCCTCCGAAATTTTCCTCCTTTTTTTGTTTTATCTGCCATCTCTCGCTATCTATGGTTGATCTGCTAATATCCGTGCACTCACTGAAAGCTCTCTTCTCCCTATCATTACTAGACACGCCCCTTACTGCTGATTGGCTGCAAGTGTGTTTTGGGACTCTGTCCGACACTGTGGTCAAAAGCGTTTTTCAAAAATTCAAGTAAAAGGCATTGTATTAACCTTATGTAATTAACTTTAGTTTATTGAAATAATGTTACTTAATAAATGCTTAATAAACTTAAGTATTTAAATATTAAATACTTAATATGTTTATAGATGCCAAGTAACCCAATTGACATAAAAAGTGAAGTAAATCCAACTTTTTTTTTGGAGTGTAAGTTTGTTAATGCTAGTATAACACTTTTGAGGATGAGTTGAAAAAAAAAAATCACAGACAACAAATGTAATCACTCATTTCACATTATGCAGAATAAAGTGTTTGTTAGATATTGTTGCATAATTAAGTTACAGAAATGTATGGTTTTCATTGTTTTTATTCAGAAGTAGATTTTGGGGGTTTAATGTTATGCAAAATTAAGATTACTTCTGTACTATTTTTCTGTTGAGCTGGACATTTTAGGATCAAATGAGTGAGTTCAGCTTTGAAAATGAAAACCAACCTGTTTGTTCCTCAGTATCTTCATGTTTGAA